AGTGGCTTAGAAGTAGCAAGCAGTTTGCGAACTAAGGACCTAAAATATATTCACTTCAAATTTTGCGCTCTACTGCGCACAACTCAACAACATTTCATTTTGGTGATTATTCTGAGCTTGGTTAAAAGCCTGGGGAACAGTATCAATTGTGTTCGGTGTATGTACACCATGACTGTACGTCCCCGTTACAGTGCATAGAGTTGACAAAATGCTTACGGTAAAATGTATCAGACTCGGTTTACTAATACTTACAATACATGTATTGACGATAAAAATGTGGTGTACGTGATATCGATACGTATTAGTAAAAAGACATTTGTACAGTAAAACCTGTCTAAATTAAACATGTTGGGACTGGGAGACAGTGTTTAATTAAGAACGGGTTTTAAATTAAACAGGTTTAATTTAGACAAGTTCTACTGGATGGTGGCCAACACGGGTCCATATCTTTTGTTCAATTTAGTAAGGGTTTTTAAATTAAACAGGTTTAATTTAGACAGGTTCTACTGTATTTCCAAAAGCGCAAATGAACTTTAGATCTTTTAAGACGATCTAGAATAGCAAAGCTTACGACAATCGAATACAGCATGACAGAAAATGCAGGATGAATTATGTAACGATACTGGCTAGTACCACCTGCACAACGCGCGCTTTGATAAAGGTGGTTTCTTCGAAGTCTAAGAAGTTGGCAAGTACATGACAAAGAACAAGCAAAGGTGGTCAACTGATTAGACGGCACTCTGTGTTCAGCTTGCTTCCACTAACATGAACTTTTTCTAGGATCGCTTTGACCTGGAAAAACAGACAATATTTTACCTGTCGTACCACCACAACAAGATCAACTAACACACTTATTCAGTTAGCATCTGACCCGTTTCCGTGTCCGGACTCGTGCTTCTCGTGCGCTCGCAGCCTCTGATTAAGTAACCGGAGCTTTTGATTTCTCTACCGTGCGGGCAATATATGATCCCAGATATTTGGGCTGTCGTAGTCAGCATCTGCACCATCCGGTACATTGCTCTAGGCAGATGCGCTGGCATTTGATATGCTTCTTTTAAAAGTAACATTTTGCACTCATTCAATCATTTCTCTCTCAACTTCAGTGGCTACACCGAAATAGTATCGGCTCGGTCTATTTAACAATGGAAGGTAGGCACTGATAGCATGTAACTGTCACAAAAAAGCAGGTTCGACTCATCAATGAATAGCTGATGGAAGACAACTGGGAAATTGACGATCGGAATTGATACTGCATTAAGCTGGAATGACTATGACCTCTTTGTCGACCTCGAAGTACATCGTAAAGAGGATAATGGTGGTGATTCTGCTGTTATTTCGGAAAAAAGCTGCTCGTAGTGTTACAGCTCTGAATGGTAACACAAAAAGTATTATGAATAATTTACCTGTGGTTGAACCTCAATAGCAATAGAATTTTACCAGTTTGTCAATTTAAGAACAGGAATTTTACAATCTACAGCTTTTAAACCGGTTTGTACAGGTTCTTTAACACTTTGTCGAGGCGTTCCGAACCAAGATAATCTTTAAAGTTTTGCGCCAACTTTCTCTTAAATCGTTATTGCCTTTACTATTGTAGCAAAAATTTTATTTGTTAAATTTGTTAAATTTGTACTCAATGATAACCAAGAAATCGTAATTGATTTTTTGCATTTATTTTATAACTTTTATAAAACCCTCATTAAGTTATACGAGGCACCTCCCAATTCCTTACTGACATCCAGGAAGAGGCGTTTGGATCTCTTGTACATTGATGAGATTTTGATGCCTAACTTGCTACGTCTTCGAATTTGTAATCTTTTTCCAATTTTCTCGAGAATGAGACTGGCCATGTTTCCACAATCTTAAGAGTATGTTTTGCACAAAATCACAGTCAACGCATAGTTTCCGTGTGATCGTAATTTAGATCTCACACATCATATATATATGTTGAGATTACGCCGCTTAATACTGTATAGGCGGCTATATGTTTATTTTATGCATAAGTATTAAATTTTGTTTGTTCAGAAAACGAAATCAGATTAGCCTTGAGATTAATGCTTAGTGCTCCACATTCGTGATCGATGGTTCAAATTCCGCCAGAGTAGCAAGATGAGTTCTACGGTCTCCAGGGATCACCGTGGGGTTTATGGCCAGTACCTACGTCTCTCATGGTTGTACGGGCAGATTAGATATAAAGTATTTGGTGTAAATATGACAATGTTAGGACGAGAAAGACATAGAAACGTAATAACCTTTAACTTCGGATTTTACCATGAATTAACAAAGTATAACAGAAGCTATGAACGTAGATCAATCCTATTGAAATAAATATATATACCTCAACTTCCGCATGTTTAATCTATTTCTTTAGTATCGTCATAATCTTACGTTCGATGAGTAAAGTTACCAGCTCATAAGTTGCGCGATAGAGTCAGAAGTTCCTTACACAACATAAATTTTGGTAGATGCTTGCTATGGTGCGCATGCATTGATCTGTCAAGCATATGAACTTGGGCATCGATACACCTTATTAAAGTCGATTATATAATACGCAGGAATGTGCAGCTTTTTTTTGCTTTGTGTTGGATATGACGTTCGAAATAGATTTTTTTTGTGATTGACGAAAAAAGTTTCAATTAAAAAACGAAGAAAGGGCTCAAGAATACATGTAGTAATTATTGTATATTCTTTGAGGTCCTCATTGAAATTTGGCTATCGTACGAGTCTCTGTTGGGATTGCGGTCGGTCAAAGCATCATTATACATAGGAGAGTTAATCGAGGAACATCTTTGACTTCGAGGAACTAGGTGTGATATGATCATGGGATCGGTTGTCTCGCGCGCTCTCCGCTTCCAGAGAGCATACAGGCCAAATAAGTACAAGGTCAAACAGTCTAACTTAGAGTTTTTCCTGGAGCACCTTCTGTGTTAGCAACGTCTCCGTCCTCAAATCATTAGCCACTTCAGCGTTGTGTTCTTTGCGCGACATGTTGAGCATTCGATCCTTGCTTCTATATTCCAATTACCCTCATTTCAACAGTGTTGAATTAAGCTTGGCATGGTTGATGTGATCAGAGCTATAGATTAAAATCAAAAGTAACAGACGGGTAGTTTTGGGATAAATGCAACACATCTCATGAAGTGATTAGAAAACGAAGCCATTTGTCAGGCAGTAAACGTAAAAATACCCCTTTCTGGGTCCACGAGTCAACGGCATCTGCGCGGTCCATTAAGGCAGATCTGATCACAAACTAGCGACTCAAGGTCGATTCATATCATGGAGGAGATCGGACGAAGAGTTGGCCGTACACTCGTGGATTGGTGGCGCTGAGATTACTCACACTCTGTATATCCTGCTCACAGTTAGGTGAACTGCTGTGTATTGGATTCTTACCGGCAAACAATGACTTCCGCCAGTGGTCGTCCAAAAGATGGACAGCATAAGACTAGGCCTGGCTCGCACCAGGCAATTCTGGGAGCGGGCCTTGACAATGAAAAAGTATGCTCCAAGAGATAGAGAGCCGCAAGCAGGGCCGTGCTTCCACCATGTCGAGGCAGAATACGCCACCCCAGTAGAGCTAGCAGCAGTTGTAGCGAGCAAGTACTTTTATCTTGTGTAATTTCCCGCATACATACAACACGGTTCGGTTGTACGAAAGCTACATGATGCTTGGTGTAATTGTGCATATTCATTCATAAGTACCTATGTTTGTATTTAGAAAGATTACAGATCTGGAAAAGAGGGTATTAGGTACAGGTCGGCGACTAGCCGTAGGTAGAACAGAAACGAGTGATATAAAACCGTTTAGATTGTGTATTAATCAAAATTGATTATTTGAAAATTAACTAATAACAGAAAGAGAATGGACTTAGAGTGAGGTAATTTCGTAGGCTCTCGGTTTCACCCTAGGTAGAGCGCACAAGCCCAACCTCTGCACGTTTGTTAGCGCGGAGTCCAAGAATCTATTACTTCTCTGTGTAAGTTCATGGCATACCCGTTAAATTGGCGATTGCAGTCGATTTCACAACAAGCCGTTAAAGGGATATGTCCTCTGTGGGGATGATTATCAACCGTTTGTCTATGTTGGTTTTCGATGGGATCAGGAGGTGGATTAGAAGTTGTCACTGCTCGCCTGAAGGCGCTCACCAAATTTGAAAATGCGCTGTTGAGGCATATTTTGGGAGAATTTCAAGCAAGCGGGCGCCTGTAAAAACAACAGATGGCTATCAAAGTAATACAGCTGATGGTGAGTGTCTAGGCATCTGAGAACCGTACGGAGAAAACCTTACCCTCTGTATGAGGAAAGTTGAGATGGTCATGGAATTGGCCTTGCTCCAGACGGAGCGACAGCGCGTCGCGCTCGATAATAGGCACTAGCGTGCAAATACCTCATCAACAAAATGCGTCTGCTCATAATTTCACATAACACAAAATATGAAAGTTGTTTTATTATAATGCCGCGGTATATATATATATGTACAGTGCCTTATAAGGTTTGACATAATTGGCGAATCAGTACCGATCCTAGTGCATGTATGTTCTCCGAGCTGAGACTATCCCGGTGCTTGTTTCCAGACCAGTTTTTCGTTTCACACTCACTTCCAGTTTAACCAAATACCAAACATTCTATCTCAGTCCAATGCGTGCTTACACCTCTTACGTTGCTCTTGCCATCGCCGCTGCGGAATTCTCATCATCTTATGGGCACCGCTTGCATCACTCCCACGTCGCGCGTCACCTCCAGATGGACATGGAAATGTCGCCCTCGATGAACATGACTTCTGCTCAAAATGCCTCACTATCAGATGAAGAATATTCTTGCCCAGTGTGCGGTATGTCCACGAAAGACATGGGGTACAATAATTTGAATCACATTGGGTTTGTAAATGGTCAAACCATTTACACATGCGGCATGGCACCACGTTCATTCGATGACTACAGCTTTGAGCTAACCGATACGGCTTACCTGGCTGCTAACGTGGCCGAGTTTATCATCAACTCCACCGATGCCAGTGCCTACGCTGAGTGCGAGAACACATGTGACGAGTGCGAGGACGGCATTCGTGATCCTGTCACTGGGGATAACATTACGACTTCGAACTTTCAATATGTGTGCCTGAACAATGGTCAGAAGATTTATTTTGCGTCACTATCGAGCAAGGATGAGTATCTCAGTAACGTTAACTCAGAGCCGCGTTATCTTGTGGATAGCATCATTTGTGGAAATTCAACATGTGCTGACGCTAACAACATCACCTCGCTTAGTTTGGCAGCACAGGCGTTTGTGCCAGAGCTGGACAAGTCTAACGATAGTGGTGCGGCTGGTAATACTAGCACTCCTACCGTTCCAGGTGGATCTAGTGCTGCCAATTCATTGAGCTCTTCTGTCATGGCCAGTCTTGCCGTTGGAAGCATTCTATCCGTTCTGGCTGCAATCGCATAAACGGGAAGATAAAATTAACTGAAGCTGCGCTAGAGCTCAGATTTACAAAGTACAAAATTTTTTTGTTCTTTGAAAACTCAAAAACAAATTATATTAGCCTTATAAACAGACTAACTTCAAATGTCATGTCTTTGCGCTAATAGTAAGTCTTTGATCAATATGATGGTTTTGAAAGGTAGGATAGGATCCATAGCCATCAACCATGTGCATAACGATAAAGCTATAATTATATTTGCACATCAAACGCAAAATTGGAATGTTGAGGTAAAGCCCTCGGGCAATTACCGAACTTCGGTAAAACATCATCTACCTGCCAAAGATACCTCATCAATAAAAACCACGGCGACCATGTGATGTTTCAGCAGGCTAGGACGTCACTCACTCCTTAATGTATCCCTTTTCCTATTACGCATCGATATGTCGTTGTGTTCTGATCTCGACGTAAGTTAGCGATTGTGGATTTTTCAGGTGTGTATAGCTTCGCGCAGCAGTCATTCGTCAGAAGTGGTGCCATGAACGGTGCCGTAAATGTAAGTTCCAAAATCCAATCGATGAACTTGATAATTGTAAAACGGATTAATTAACTCGATCAAAATCATCTCAGACATGTGTGTACCCTTCCATGACGAGCACTCCTCAATAGATACGACAAACAATCAAGAAATCGTTCAATCAATGAATCATCGTCAAAATTATTGTCTTCATCAATGCACTATAGCGGATCGTGGCATTACAGTCTTGTAGCAAAAAGCGACTAATATTGTTGAGTGCATTATTTGAAGAGGCACAAGATGTACGACGCTCATGATGAGAGCATATCTCTACAATATCTTAGTTTTTTCAGAGGCCGGAAGGATCACTGTCTGCATCGAGTGGGCTGCCACCGTCAGTGTAAACGTATTTAAATCCGTTTGCAAAATGCTTATCAGAGCGTCATCATCATCGCGATTCAAAAACTGCATCACAATTTGGTTGTCTGGGGTTACGAAAGCGCAGCGGTGGAAACCGTCCAAAGTCTCTGTTTTCGGAAATTCGATACGCCTTGATCCTGGCGGTACGAACTTTGAAAAATGACCCATGATATAGTACATGGGCTGCTTGTAAAATTCAGCGCCATTCTGCCCGTCAATGAGAATCGGCGCATCCACCATGTTTTTTGCCCAGTTTGGACCACCACGAGTATCTAGAAACAAATTCCAGTCTACCCAACCAGCAGCCATGTGATTACTATTCTCAATAATGTCACGTGCATAATTCTGTGCACGCTTCCAGGCCTTTTTCGAATTATAGAGAGCTGGTCCTTTGCCTGTACCAATAAACTTAGGAAGATATCCTGCACATGCTTCTGTTGCGAGCATAAACATATCAGGGTGTGTCTTGTGAAATTCCACCAGATCATCATAATTGCCAGCTCCCGGCAGAGTGAAGTCAATGTTCTTATACCAGTGAAAGGCAAGTCCGCTTAAATACTTCTTTGACTCTGGATCATCAAATGGCGCCGAACGATCCAAAAGAGTGGTTTTCTGGTCATCATTCGCCATGATTTTCATATGTGGGTACTTTTGAGCCATTAAGGGGCCAAGATTCAGCTTAACAAAATCTCTTTCATCCTCGGGAGTCAAACGCAATGATTCCCATGGAACAAGAGGGAGAGGGGGCATCTCAGGCTCATTTTGAACAGTCATGCCCCAGAAGTTAATTCCTTCCTCCTTGTATGCATCAAAAAATTTAGAATAATACAATGCCAGCGCCGCCCAGTGCTTATCACCAGGCATCCCCCTCATTTCACAGTCAATAACTGAGTCTCCTTTTGTCAACCAAAGTGGAGGAGCCCAAGAGGATGCAAACAGCTTAAGCTCAGTCATATTCAGAGCACGCTTGATCATGTCAATTTTGTTCGAAAACGGAGCTTTATCAACGGCAATAGAAAAGTTGGTCATCTTAAAATCGCCTGCTTTGTCATTGTAAGTGTACGTTCTCTTTGAGAAATCAGTGGATCCGATGGGCACACGAGCCATATTGTACTGAATCCCATCCTTTGAAAAATACTGGGCCAGAGCCAAGTCTTGTAGCTTGGGCATCAGTCTGTACAGATTGATGGATGCTGCGTCTGTAAAAGCTCCACCAAATCCGAGCATCGTCTGATATTGCGTCGACACTTCGATCGAGTAGGTGTAATCATTCTTCGGTGACGCATCTATCTTCACCACCCTGTACGATAAGCGATCACCCGCCTTGGATGTAGTGTAAATACCCACTTCGCCCTGCTTAAGTGATTTGTAATCTCCGACAACTGAGTCGCAGTGCGTGACATTGCAGACACAGACGCCATCTAGCTTACGTCGGTGAAGCGACGACCAGTCGAAGCATGCAGCCGACACTTCATATGGAGACAATAACATTCTACATGCGAGGAAAGCGATGAGTCGTCTAATCATCATTGTATAGTGAATAGCGGCCTTTGCTGTGACGCCAAGCTCGCAGCTATTGCTGAGCTATGGTGATATAATAAAAATACTCTGGCACATCTCAAACTAGATAGATGACAGAGGGGGTGAAATGCATAGCAAATCGAAGTCGAAAAGACTGATGAGTGCACTCTTACGATATGCTGTCTTAACCACATCAGAAAAGTAAGCGCATTAACGACGTTTTGCGCTTGATGATTCGTTTCCCAATTAACCATTAATATAATCGAGCTTATCGCTACACTAAGAGCTTTTAAATTGGGTAAATATTTGTTAGTCTAAATCTTTGCGATTGCGGCGGGCAAATCTTAATGATCAAATGACATCCACTTTTGTTATCATTCAATTGCAATTCAATATTATTAGGATACAATAGGAACTCCCCTATA